GAAATTTGTCGCTACCAAGTATTGTTTGTATGCTAAAATGTGCCTTCCATATCTGCAGCGGTAATGTAACTAGTATGACTTCAATCACCCTATGTAGTTCTTTCCCAATGGTTTATTATATTATCCGATTCAAAGCTCTAGAGTATCATTGCTTACTTGACTGTTGGCCAAAATTTTATTTTTAACAGATTCCTTCTCAGCACTCTGATGACAGTTTTGATAATACCTCAAACACACTGTGACTTTTTGTTTATGAACTAATAATACATTTTGTGCCAGAGCCAAGGGATTCTCTTGTGAGATACATTTACAAGATATTTTGTTGTGTTCCAGAAAAATCTTTGGTTGTACACCAATTGGTCTCAAGTATGTTATATCCTCTTATAATACCTCTCAGTAAGCTATCCTCTAAGATTCTTGAACTAGGAACATTATAAAAAGTGGCATGATTATAAGATTGCCTGATTGTACTTTGTAATGGAAATATATTTAAAGAAATACTGATTTTTTTTTTCTGTCTCAAGATATGTTACTCCCAGTTATATTAGTGCAATGGCCATGTAGACATCTGACCACTAGACCACTAGACATATGCAAAAGTGCAGTGCAGCCTAAACAGACCATATTGCAAAAATGATTGGTTTTCTTCAAGTGTCCCAGTACACTTCAAGGAGGATGTTACGGAATATAAAACTTAGAAACCTGTTTCTTCCTTTAGAAATTAAGTGCACACTTCTTTTTGTTATAAAAGCAGAGGAATTATGAAATATTATTTGATGTTATTGTCAAACATTAGTAAAGGATATAGTTTCTAAAAGTTGACATGTTAGTAAAGGGCATGTTAAAAAAATACCCTGGCATCCCTTTCCTTTAACCTGATCAAAGTTTTAGATATATTTTAGAATGCTTAGATATTCAGTTAATGAATTGTACATTTTAAACATGAAACTGTGAGAGAATACCTTGTTAAAATATCAGTACTTGTATTAAAATGCAAAAAAAAAAAAAAAAAAAGATACGTACCATTATTCAGCAATTTCAGTTTACACTGTATCCAAGCTTCAGTCCCAAAAATCTTTAGGTCAGTGTGGTGAATGGTGCTAGCTATGTGCCAGAGCACTGATGAGGTGTTAATATTTGAGCTACCAATTCCAATCCTGTCCATAAGGTTGACTTAGTAAAGTTCAATAGTTGCTAATGACCTGTGCTGGCAACCCACCATGCAAAGTAGTTTGTTTCACAGAGTCCATGCCCTGCTCTAGTTCAATTTACAGTAGTATCAGTGTAGATTGTTGAAGTGTAGTAGCTCACCTAACTTTGCTATGGTAAAAACATAAAGATCACTTTATTAAACGTGACAATTTTGGTATTGACAGGAAAATTGGGGATTGTACTGGCAAGTATCACTGCTCATTATGTGTATTCCTAAAAATCAAATGAAAGAGTTAAAAACAAAAAAGCAATTTTCAAAATACATGTTTTCCATTAATAGACTAAAAATCTGGATGCTCCAAAGACATGCAAAAAAAGTCTTGAGCCAGTTAGGCAAATGCAGACTTGGATTTTGTAATTCTTGAATGCTTACTGACATAAATTGAAGCTGGGGCAAAGAATACTGTGCTCTCAGCTTTAGAACGTGAGCCAGAGCATTAAAACCTTGTGCAGACAGAAGCTGCCACTTTGCCAATAACAAGGACTGCACAGGGATCCAAATCTAATAGAGTAAGCCTTAACTTGAGCTGGAGAGCAAATGGAGAAGATGTACAGATGTGCAGCCACAAACACATTACATAATTTGGGAAAACATGCTGCAGTGGCTGGTATAAAAAAGGACACTACCCCTTAACCTTTACAGTTCAGGCTAGCATTTGGTGCTAAGGAGTCACGGTTTTAGTGGATGAAGTAGGTAATATATGCCAGCCAGTGGGTCACACATAAGCTAGAGAAAACTAAGTGGCCAAAAAACTGTAAAAATAATAGTTAGATGGAAAACTGGTGAGCAGCAGGATGTCCAGGTGACTCACCCCGATGGGAAGAATGCCTAGCAGTAGCAGGATCAAACCCTCATTTTATAATAAATATGCATTAGAGGAAAATCACTATCGTTGCAATGGAATTTTTAAGCAGAGTTTACTGTTGTTAACCAGGTGATAACGAGCTGTGCTAGTGAGTGTTACAGGAAGCTGTCGTTTTCAGCTGTCATTTTTGCTAACAGAATGCCACATAACATGATGCAAAATACTGCACATATTTCACCCACTCAGCTTACACATGCTAGCAAGATAACCCTACATATTTAAGTTTACAGTTCACACAGTGAACAAGTGGAAATCAGAATTTTGTGCAGTTTCTAATATTTGTGTTTTAATTTTATTTTATTTTATTTTATTTTATTTTATTTTATTTTATTTTATTTTATTGTGTTTATGTTTTGTATAAAACTCATTCAGTCTGGCTCTTATCAATAGATTTCTAAGCAAAAATTAATCTCTTAAACATGTACACTTGTATCAGTAGTGCTTTCCTTAAACTGTTTGGACATTTTTAGCACAACCTTGTGTAATCTTGTTTTCATTTTGTGATTAAAACAAAATATTTTTGAATTTTTAGCTAATAACAGCTAAATCAGGCTAATCAAGTGGTAAGAGTAAAACATGTAAATGGTCATTTCTTCTGTCTGCAACAAATAATTTCAGCTTGACATTGCACAATTCATTAATATACAGATAGAAAGAATCTAGATCTATAATTTAATTATATAAAACAACAGTTAAGACAAATTCCAAAGCCATCTGAATATCTGGCTTTGATTGTATTCCACTAGATCAAACGTTTCTTTGCTTCTCTTGCTAACAACCCCAGTATCATTTGTAATAAAATTAAAACTGAGATTTATGATTTGTGTAAATAACTTTGGCTTTGGGAAGACATTATGGAGAAACAAAAAAAATAACGTGCAGTTTTCATTTTTTTTGAATTTCAATTTTTCTTATGCTTTGATTTTGAAATTGTCTGACCATGACAACTTTCACAGCATCCTATTTTCGTGTTATAGGGTTTTTGTGCTGTCAATGGAGACTTAAAAAAAAAAATCTTAGGATACATCTGATCAATTAGCTCATTAATTCTCAGGGGAAAATTTAATAGGCCACTCAGCTTAAATTCTTTTCTATATCTTTTTTTTTTTTTTTTCTTAACAATCATAGTCCAAATACAGTCAACTCCATTCCTTTTATTGCTAATTTTCTTTGAAAAAAATGATGACAGTGTAATTATCAAGTACCAAAATGCAAGCATACTTTCGCTTTGAATAATGGTAAATGTCTATTTTTTTAATAGAAAATCATAGCAAACCTTCCCTTTTCTCTCAGGAGGGATAAAAATAACTATCATCATCATGAACACAAATCGTATAAAGCACATACTAACTCTACACTGACACAGTCTCTCAGAAAATTAAGAGTTGGAGAGCAAAACCCAAAAAGCACAAATCTACACCATGAGAAACAATAAATTAGCCCATGTATAGTTCTGCATTATTGTTAGGCTCTTTACTACTGAAGGCTTGCACGTTTATAGCCAACTTTATATCCCTGACAACTGATAGTGAAAGCATAGATTCCTATTTTGTCAACTTGTTTGCCTTGCAGTCCAAAAAGAATGCCATCTTACCATCTTAATTATTTTTAACAGTGACAACATCTTAAAAACATCTTTCTATTACAGATTCTTGTATCACAAATTGTCATCTGAGACAACACACACAGGTGTTCTTTGCAACAATATATTTCACCTTGATTTGCAACAAATGACCACAAAGTTTTCATTCACTGAGTAATGCTTTATCCTTAATTGCATCCAATACTCCACAGAAGATTCTCTATTAGTAAATAACCCCCTTTTGGCCAAATTTTAGGGCAATCCAAATTTTAGGGCTGCTGTGAACAAAATAACACAGAATAAAGTTCCAAAAATATACGTCTTGAGATAGCTTGTCTGTTTTCAACAGCTTTCTAATAATGATCCTTACTAGCACTCAGTTTTCTTCATTCATGAAAATTTCCGATATTCAAACTGTTAAAGTTGCCATAAGGTCCTAATTGCTGCAAAGACTTACTGCTGAGTACCAAGAACTACAGGAAACTCTCAATGATTTTCAGCACCTATGGTAGGCAGGTTCTGTCAGACTTTTGAATGACCTTGCACAAGTCATTCATGCCAAATATGTAGATGCTTACATATTCACATAGGAACATAATGTTCTTTGATTGTAATAGGGTTGAGGCAGAGAAACACTACCTGACCCTATTCATTTAAAAAATGTTTTAATTTTTTTTTCTCCATTCTCATCTATGAAATTTGGAAAAAGAGTATCTCATTTTCTAGTCTGTGTCCAGATGCCTATTTATGTTCTAAGATTGCAGGGCTTCCATATTTAATGTTAGAGTAGCATTTAAAGGTGGGACTTTACAAAGCTATGATTTTGAATACCTTTTGCTGCTTCCATGGAGACAATGTCAGGCTCACAATTCTTGTGATTTGTTGTTTTTGAATGTTTATCAAATGGTTTGCAGTCCCCAAGGCAAGCAATGACAGCTGAGAGCTTGTTTTGGTCTAATTTATGTTAATATTGCAAAATACTTTGCAGAAATACTGCAAAAAGAGAGCTCTTAAGCTTAATCAGAAAAGACTTGCTTAAAAACTGCAGGCTTGCATGAAAAAATGTTAGTCCAAAGGACATAATTGGGATATTACATTTATACAAATGGAATAGGAAAAACAATCAAACAAGCAATGAATAAATTCATTTCTAAAATGTCTTCTTAGACTGAGGAATCCAACATGGTTCTGTGACTTTAAGAAGTATGCAGCTAAGCTCCTCTCCTGTAAAACTCTCCAAAATTTCTTGCTTGTGGTATTGTAAAGCAGCTTATTTCTCATTTGAGCATTGAATTTTGCTTAAAGGTAGGCAAAATTCAATTATTTATGAAGCTACTTACCCAGTATAATACATCAGTCCATCCTTCCATGGTTATACACTGGAATACAGTCAACATTGCAAATGCAAAATTATCAAAGTTTGTTATGCCTCCATTTGGTCCAACCCATCCACCCTTACATTCAGTGCCATTCATGACACACTGACGTCCATTCCCTGAGAATGCACAAGGTGCTGGATCTTCTTCAACTAGTATATCTGAAAATTGACCCCCCCCCCCAAAAAAAAAAAAAAAAAAAAAAAGATATTTCAGAAGCTAAGGTTAAAATCAGAAGTTCTCAAAGTTTTTTGAATTAATTCTATGTGAAGCAATATCAATCCTGTTAGATGGTAAATGCAGATATCAAATGTTGAGAAAGTGAGCCCATGGAAACTTTAGAGCTGTTAGTTGCTCTCACATCTGGGCTCTTAAAATAGTTTAATAAAAACTGAACACATAACATAGCTCAAGCCATTTAGCAATGGGAAAAAAATAATGCATGTTCATATTTACAGTTGCACGAATGCACTGAATCTTTTTTGAATCTCACCATAGTGATGTTTTTTTTCCATCATCTTTACTCTTTCTTCCCTTCCTACTAACACATGTACCACCAAGGACACATCCTGGACTAATTTCTACATATAGTTTACTTCATTGCTTAGGTAACAAAACATACCGTTAGCCATCAGATGCATCTGTCCCTCATGATGATCACAGAATCACAGAATGGTTGAGGATGAAAGTGACCTCTGATGATCATCTGGTCCAACCCCCTGCCAAGCAGTGTCACCCAGAGCACACTGCACAGGATTCCATTCATGCAGGTTTTGAATATCTCCAGAGAAGGAGATACCCTCAACCTGTTGGCAACACTCTTTCTAATGCAGCCCAGGATACCATTGGCCTTCTTGGCCACAAGTGCACATTGCCGACTCATGGTTAATCTACTGTCCACCAGGTCAGTCCCAGGTCAGTCCTTTAAAACTCTAAGAAACACTTTCATTGCATCATTTCAATCTACAGGAGTGGAGGAACACTATTTTCTTTTATTATTATTCTTAGAACTGTGCTTCTTGTCACACCACACAAAATTCTGAAGGAGAGACACTGCCAGATTGTCATTTCAAGAGGGTACCTCTTCCCTGGGACTAGACAGCTTTTAGTAATCAAAGGCTCAGAATACTATTAAGTTGTCCCTTGTGGATAGTCACCCTTACTATTTTCAATAATGACATTTCAGTTAGACATTTCAGACACGAAATACTATTCAGAACATGTTCTTGTCTCTAACTGTTTTGCATATTGGTGGTGGAGGTAGTGTTAGGTTTGTTTTTTGTTTGTTTGTTTTGTTGGTGGTTTATTTGTTGTTGTTGCTGCTGTTGTTTTCTAAATTTAAGGAACTTTTCCTAAAATTATTGATCACTAAAAATCAGGGTTGAAACAGTTTTAGTGCTTTGGCCCATTCTATTTCAAACTGAAATCCCACAGACTTGAAAGAGAACAGAACTGATCCCTTATTTTAGTCAGCAGTTTCATGACTTACCTGAATCAATAAGAAAACAAGATTTGTGCATTTTTCCAATAAAAAGTTCCAATCCTATAATAGCATAGATTATGATTACAAACAATACCAAAAGGGCAATATGGAGCAGGGGAACCATGGCTTTTATAATGGAGTTCAGGACAACTTGTAAACCTAAAAGAAAAGAAGATACAAGATATGAACCAGATTTCTATGCCTTGCCTTACCAAAACTTCTATAATTATACATTATTAGAAATTAATGATACAGGCATGCAGACCATCAGTTTAAAAAAAAATCTTCTGCTCAGAACTACAAAACATTACTGCAACATAATTTACTCCATAAGAATCTAAAGTTTTGTGTCAAAGCCTAATTATTTATTCTGTTAACAAAGGTTATATCACTGAAGCCAATGCTTGATATTCAATAATTTACGTGATTTTTTTTTGTTTGCTCCACTTTTTTTTTTTTTTTTCTGAAAGAAAAGGCATGTAGTCAGCATGTGGCTTTATTTTATATGACCTTTTAAAAGTCCTGTGCTACAACCACAACTTTGTGACAAGTCCAGAGAAATTGTACACAGGCAGTTGCAGAACTGTATTTTTGATCTGGAGAGATAACATATAGCTATCTGGGAAAACATATTTTCACTTTGAAGAATCTTACTTTTTAGTTATTCATCCCTTGCATCACTTTCAGAACTATTTCATTTTTTTGTGTTTTCTCCTTAATTTAGCCAGATTTTGTTCTTGTAAAAGAGTAAATGCCAGACTACTGAGGTTGCTACAGTACTGGTAAGAATAAAATATGGCTCATTTTAATTTCAAAATACTTCCTTTCTGGCATCTCATAAGACTGCTTCTTTCTTCAGTAAAGCTCTTTTGCCAAAAATATACCATCACAATCATTTACATGTAACAGAGTATGAGATAATAATAAACACAGCGTTAGGTTTCTTCATTTGAATGTACTGGGAAGAGTTGAGTTGTAAGTCATGAACCTCTTATTCAGCCCAAATAGCTACACTAATTAATAATGCATGAAGAGAAAGCAGGAAGGATTGTTATAAAATTCAATTGCTTTCTTTAAGTAATTTGTTCTACTTTTCAAGTTTCCTCATTTATCTGTTATATTGAGATAAACAGAAGGCATTCATGTGCATTGGAGGGGGCAGGAAGTATGATATGTGTAATGTGCTTTGGCATACACTTACCAATTTATAAACTATTTTAGGACCACCTACATTTTCAGATGTGTAGGACTTTGGAATTATATATATATATATATATATATATATATATATATATATATATATTTCCTAGTGTATTTGCATTTAAACATGTAATTCATTTTTATATAAAGCTTCAAAAAGGGAAGTGTATTCCCCGTCTGCTTATTGATCTGTGTAAGAAGATCACACACTGAATGAATTCACAATCCTTTGTTCAAACTGAAATAGTGTATCATCCATCTTGAATCTAACTCTATACATATAACCAGACAACAAAAATCAACTTAATATTATCTTATTTATGTTAGTGTCTGGAACATGAAAGTTAAATAATCAGATCAGTTATAACACTCATTCCAATGGAATTAAACAGAAAAGTGCTTACTGGGCACTCCTGATACAAGCCGGAGAGGTCGCAATACACGAAAGGCTCTTAGGGCTTTGACATCAAAACCACCAGGTTTGCCACCTGAGTGGCTGCCACCTTCTGTTTCTTTGGTTAATTGTTCCAATATTACACTAAATAATCTAGAAAATGAGATGAAAGGTTAGGTCATCAGCATCCATTTACCATGCAATCAAAGGTATTAGGAAATTACTTGAACTGCCGATAATTCTGAAAAGCCGTTCAACTGTCAAAATGAGAGGTATATTTATGCATTAAATCATGACAGGAAGAGTTATGAAGTGCAGAAGTTTCTAATCCCTTGAGATAATGATGACAGTATCCAATACATTAGCAATCTGCTTGTATACACCCTCTGTTATTTTTAAATAAATGAAGCTACTTTGCCATTTCTCTTTGTTCTAACATTTTATAGCTGTAAGGTTTGGAAAAGTACTCTTCTCTTTAGAAGATGAAATAGATAATCACAAGAAACCATCTGTTTTAATTTTGGTGGAATATATGAACTCCAAGTGACACTGCAGTTCAATATTCTAAATACAGTCAGCAAAAGCTGCATATATTAAAAAACAATTACAAAAAATATTGAAAATGAGTCTAACATTTAATAACACCAAAATGATTTGTTTCTTACTCATAATAACTTTGAGTATAAAAATATTCCCAGATGAGTCATTTATTATATTGTATTTCTCCACAGCAGAAATGAGCTAGTCATTCATTAGAACAGTTTTCCTTCCCATTTCCAGCAAAAATTCAAACCAATGCAACTGTTTGAAGTGCAAAGTAATCTTAGGCTTATTTTAGTTTGCACCTGCATTTCAGATGCATAGTTTTCTAGACTGCAAGTATGGACCAGGCAAGCCATAACAATACTTTGCAGGGTCTATAGTCCAGTACTTGCAAAACCACACTTCTCCTAAATGGATTTTTAAGGCAATAGTCTTGTAATCCTGAAATTTCTTTCACATTCAAAAAGGACTCCTGAAACATGTAGGTTTTTGGCTTTATCAGGAAAAGTTCACAATGCTGTTATGCTGGATAGTTGCTAGAAAACATGTAATATTTAATAACTTGACCAAATGTCCTGGTTTCAGCTAGGATAGAGTTAATTTTCCTCACAGTAGCTGGTATGGTGCTCAGTTTTAGATTTAGGATGAGAATTATTCAACTGGGGCAGGGAGGGGATGGGGAGGGAATCGCTTCTCAGGGACAGGCTGGCCATCAGTCAGCAGGTGGTGAGCAATTGCATTCTGCATCACCTGCTTTGTACAAATTATTATTATTACTATGATTATTATTATTTCTCTTTCTTTTCTGTCCTACGAAACTGTCTTTATCTCAACCCACAAGATTTTTACTTTTTTTTTTTCCCTCAAATCTCTCCCCCATCCCACTGGTGGTCAGAGGGTGAATGAACAGCTGTGGGATGGTTAGTAGCCTGCCAGGTCAAACCACAATATCAAAGCAGAGAAATGAGGACTTCCTCCTCTTCCAGTAAGCAACTGACCTGTATAGGTTCATTCCCACCTCTACTCTGCTTATTCTCTTCCCAAATGAAACCCATACAAAGAGAGTCATACAGCTCTTACAGTGAGCACCATTTCAGCAACCTATCTATTTTAACACCTAGAGAAATCCAGAAGATTAATATTTCAGGTCCTAATTCAGCCCCATAATTTAACAGAACACTTCTAAGAAAATGAGCCATATCAATGACTGCAGAGTGACTGTTCATGCTCCAAAGGTGACCTGGTTCAACAGACTTCTGAATCAACTCCCAAATTAAGAGAAGCTGTTTTCAGCCTGTCAGTCCTTATATCATTCAGAAGATTTAAGGGGTAAATGGACAACAAAAGCACCATGAAAGCTTTCTACTAGGCCCTTATTCTTTCACTTAAATCCATTGAAATTATGCTGCAAAGAATACAGGCAAGTAGTAGACTGCTCAGAAAGTAATTCATACTCTGACTGGTTTCAGAGAATGACAAAGACAGGAGAAATCATGACATTCACAGCTGTATCTACTGCTCTGTCATTTTATATCCATTGTCTAAAGCCGTTAAGGTATAAAAGGAACAAGCTCCTTTATTACTCTTAAAAAATACAGTTATTCTCCTGTACAGTTTATCAAAGTTTAGATGCCAAATTTGATGTTGGAGAAAAAGCCTGTATGCATGCTTCCTCTTTGCCAGTAGAGGTTTCTTATGGTACTGTTAAGATTTATGCATTACGACTGCTTCAGTTTCTGCTGAAAAAGAACACGAAGCATGTTTCATCTTATATGTTGAATATAGGACATAACAGCAACTCTTTCAAAGCTATTAAAATACCTAATGAAATTGCATGATGAAACTAGTCAAATAGAATCACATCCAGAAGTGATTCCATATCCATCTTGGATTATATATGAATACCAACTTCTCACTAGGCTTTTATTTTAAGTATCTGTTAGATAAATGGATTCATGCTTGTTTTGGGGGGTTTATTTTATCTTTTTGTTTGTTTGTTTTGTTTTGTTTTGTTTTCTGTTTGGTTTTTAACTAATTGTCTTAAAACTGTTTTGTCAGTGCCTGACATGTTATGAAGGGTTCATCTTGTCTTCCAGGTAGACTGATGGCAGTGTACATAGTAATTTATACTGCAAAGGTTTTGGGTTTTGAGCTATAATTTAAATCTTAGTAGGATATTTTAGGCACTTGGTAAGATGTAGTCCTTTTTGCTTCTTTTATTTTCCCTGGGTTCAGTGTATTTGACCTAACTAGATTTAGCCTTCAACACTGAATATTTTATGAGTTAATGGAAAATTTTTCAGTTATCATGTATTTAGGACAGAGCCAAAGATAGAGGTCATGTTAATTAGACTGCTCCAGGGTTACTGTAGCTCTGTGGTCACTTGACAAAAGAGAAGAGGTCTATTCAAGTGACGCCTGGCAAGAGAATTAAGTTTTTGTCTGTGATAGTCTCCACACCTGCCCAAGCTTCCCCTTCAGGCGCAGAGGCCAATCTGTTGACAATGACCTAGCCTGATGAAGAATCTATTTATATACAAATTCTAGTCCTTAACCAAAACTGCCTTAATGCCAAGCAGCTGGCCCAAATACAATTTTCTCAACATTTTATTTTTTTTTTTACTATCTCAGAAACAAATAGTTATAAATCATTCACACATTCATAATACTTCCCCAAATTTAATAGCGCTTTACCACATATTTCTTTACTTAGCATCAATTTACTTAATGTAATGGCATGAATAAGAACAGTATGCTCATGAACTCTTGAGCCTTTTCAATTACAGGCAAGCCTTGATGCAGTCTGAACTTAAAATGAAGTTAGAATGGCATATTGCATGCCAAGGTCATCTTTGCTAGCCAGCCCCAACCTACAAAATTATACACAGATAATGTTCTCCATTTCAATAAACATTTTTAGTAAACCTACAATACCGGAAATTCCCTTTTTATCCTTATTATTTTCCCTTATTATCCTGTCATATTTAGATAATTACAATATATGCCTCAAGATTAATTCCCTAGATAGCTGAAGGTAGGCTCTTCTAATGAACTAGCGCAACTGTTGACACAAAACACCCCCAGTGCTTCCTATATCCTAAGCTGGTGCATAATGTGAATGTGGGACATTCCACTCCCCACTTTTGTGTAACCTGAACAAGGCCTGAGCAGCATCTTATCAGAGGAGTGGAACAAACTCTTCAGAGTTTCTCGATATAACAAGAGGCACTGGGGAAAAAAAAAAAAAAAAAAGAAAAAAAAAGAAAAAAAAGAAAAAAAAAGAAAAAAAAAAAAAGGAATTTTTAATGCATATTCTTCCCCAGGCAAGTCTCATATACATCTGGGGCCTAATGTCCAGCACACCAAAGTACTGAAGCATCCAATTTTCCTCATATTCCAGGAAGTTCGATGAAGCACTCAGTTACTCCAACTCCCCTCACCGCTCATTCATTTCAGAACATGGGGTTCTCCCAGAGGTCTTTGGTGAATAAATGAACTCCATGTAACCTCAGTGTAGGTATAAATGAATAAATGACTTAACAGTGTATGGACCTAAATGAATAAACCTCTATCATATTGAAAGACACCAGGAGTTTACCTAGGAAAAATCAGATGTAAAAGATTCTGCAGGACAACTAAGGTTGACAACATCTGGTCAAACTGTTTGACAGAACTCAAAATTCCATGGATATGTTTACTATAAAAGTGATGGTGCAATACAGCCTACAGCCAAATACAGCACTGAAAACTTTTACAACTTTGTTTTGAATTCTTCACTCCTATCAGTTGATAGTTTTAAAGAATAAATGTCAATCTCAGGGCCCTTATACACAGCCAAACAAACCTATATATAATTTACTGTAAAGAAGATTTTAAAGCCTTTTTATAACAAAGTATAAGTTACTTACCCTACTACCACTATTACAAAATCCAATAAATTCCATCCATTTCTAACATACGCATTGGGGTGTAATAATAATCCATATGCTATAATCTTCAAAAATGTTTCAACTGTAAAAATTATCAGGAAGGCATATTCTACTTTTTCCTGTAAAAGACAAAGTACAATGAAAGACAATGTAATTTAGCAACTCTTTTACTAGTTACAATTTGCAGTAAGAGGGTAAATTGTATTGATCAGGACTATGGAGATACAGTTCTTCATGGCAGTTTATTTGTGGGTTTAATTGCACAGAATTTAATGATAGCTGCACTGACAAGGTTATAATCATATAATTGCATGGGATATTTCCTGTTTTCACATTCCACGAGAGAAAAAGACTCCAGTTCTGCAAACATGGAAGCACTCTGAGCCTTTGCTTATGTAAATAGTCCCACCCAATCAATAGTATTCTTTATATTCATTAAAACCAGAAAATTCTGTAGAATAGGGTCCTGGAAACATCCTTAAAAGGTACGCAGAAGTATACTTTCACTATTCTTCACATCAGCCTTTATTTAATTAGGACAGAGTTCCACCTAATAAGGGAGTTTGAGACAGTGTCATTATGTACTATGGAACTTCAAAAAATTATTGTAATCTATCTAGCAGGATCTTAATTTAATTATACTGTCTTACATCTTTTTCTTTTTTACATGGAAGTTTATATTGACTTATTCTTCCTTCCACATCACTACTATTGCTTTAAATCATCCAAATATGGTTGAAGAAATTTTAGTTTAATATATCACCACCTTGTATCATTGACATTCCAACTTCACATTTGCTTCAGTACTTTTTTACGATATTATTAGCATCTTCATTTTTACCAAAAATCACATTTTAAACCAACATATACGTTGAATCTCTTTTCAGAGCTAGTTGGATAATATTTTTGTGGCTTTTTCTTTCTAGAGTAATAGCATATTTGATTTGGATAAACTGTAAAAATCACTGCTATCAAAACAGGTCAATTAACACATTTTTTTCTTTTTACTTTCATCACTTCATTGCTTTGTATAATATTTGTTTTGTTACCTGTTCTTATGTAAATATTAGAGCTAAGAATACAAGACAGAATTATTTTATTTTATTTTATTTGTTCAAGCACTCATGGCTATTGCTCACTATTACCACACACAGCATTAATTACATGGACCGTAATTGCTCAGTAAGGACTACAAACATCTATGCAGCAAAGACATTACACACAAAATTATGTATTTGCTATTTGTTATACATCCTGACACTTTCACACACAATCAAATAAAGAACCAACACGGTCCATTCACAATTTAAAAGGAAGGTTTTTATAAACTCATGTGCAAGTCTGAATTCATGGGGCCAGATTTCTTCTCCTCATGAAAAGGGCATTTAGTGTTGGTTATGTACAGGACATGATATATCCTTTTATAAATCTGACATTAGTGAATTAATAAATGGTAGAAGCTTATCCATAAATCACATAATCCAGTCCACTTCTAGCAAGTGGCAACATGGAATCACTATGAGAGGTAAGGGTTTCCCTAATGTGAAGCTAAGATCTGCTCATCTCAATCACATATGTCTGCATTTTCCCTCCAAATACTGCTTATAAACATTATAGATCTTCACCCAAAGCAGTTTCTCCTCAAGGTGCCTTCTATGGTACAATAATATGAATTATCAGCATTTCTGAGAACCATACTGCAAAAACGCTGAAATTCAACCAAGTCCTACCATGTATACATTCCACAATAACAGCTATTTCTATCTGCCTGCATACGAGTCTGTAACTCGGGTATAGAAAGATAAATAATGTAAGACAACATAAGGAAGACAAAAATATTAGGTTGGCATTTGCTATAGGCAGAATACATATCAGTAGTCATAGTAGTAAAAACCAACATGAAACAAAAGTGAGGAAGCTTCATATATGCAAATTTCACCAGCTTCTTACCATGAAAGGAATGCAGGACTGAACCAACCCTTCTGGGCCATCACAACCAGTCTATCGTTATTATAAGGAAATATGCAATTTAATACTGCCCATGAACATACCAGATTCCACCCTAATAACCATCTTTGCCCTTCACTGCTCCCCTTCCTGGAACATCTTAATGCTCTACAGTTATTTGGGCTAGGAACCAGTCCTAGTCCCAGTGAAACTTGCTTAATAGTCACGTACCCTAGCAGTTCATTTGAATTACAGTTCACATCTAACAACTCTATCCTATCCACTTAGCACTCATCTTCCTGCACATTTTATTTCCCTTCTGTGGAAGCAGGACTGTTTCCTAGTTCTTAACCAGCATTGCAAACATTCTGTTCAAGCAATATGTGATACATGGCAAGCTCATTTTTTAAACCCAAAGTCTTACTGTCACTAGCTTACAATTTCCGGTTAACAGATCAGGGAGAAAAACTCTATTGCAATTTCAGTGTAATTACTATGAAGGTGTACCTTCCAAGTGAGGTGGGAAATGTTAATACTATGAAAACAAGCATTTTAGAGCAGCCAAGACAAAAGGAAATCACATTTTAGCACCAGTAAGAACCATTTTTGTTATGGATAAATATGGCATGTGGAATACACATTTTTAGCATGTTCATCACCTATCTTCCAATTTTTCAAATCTTCCTCTAGCCTGTAGACCCCAAAGATGATTATTGAATATTATTTTCATCCTACTATTTTTTAAGTTCTATCTGTTCTAGAATCAACAGAACAGTATCCTACTCCTCCTTCTTATGCTATTTTCTTTTAAAGTATGCTGGAATATGAAAGAAAAACAGCTACGGCGTGTGACCAAGATAAGCCCTGGTTTCTGGCCCACTGAAGACCCGTATCAGTTGGCACTAAAAGGAAACAGGCATTAGTACAGCTACTCCAAAGCAAGCCAGAGCTCTGGATAGGAAATTAACCAGCCACAGACAAGTCCCTTGTGACTCCTCCACAAGATCTGTTACCAGAAGGTAGAAAAGCTACTTCTCTCTTCTCTTTTGTTGTCTTCAACAATGTGAATTGGAAGACTCTACTCATTTCAGTTTGTTGTTGTTTGTTTGTTTGTTTTAAAGAGAATTGAAAACTTTCATTTAACAGTTATTTCCCAACCAATGAGCTGATCCTGCAAACTCCATCTTTAACAAAACAAACTGACTGCTTTTAGGTGGGAATCATAGGAATGGGTTCTTACAGTTTATGCTATTTCTATCTGAAATTGTATTTCCCTGAAACTAAGCTTCAATCTCTGTAAAACGATATCATAAAAATATAGTGAGATGAAAATCAATTCTATTTTTACCATGCATATTCTCCTGCAGAGTTCTGTTAGTTTAATGATAGTGGAAAGCCCTGCACGTGCTTTTACTCATCCATTTTACTTTTGGTAGTTATTTTCATGAGTAAATTCTTAACTATTTTGTGCTTATCTAGTTCTTAAAAGACTAACATGGAAAAAAAAAAAAAAGATTTAAATTTGCTTTTGCAAGGCATTATGATAATTTTTCATTATTAGTCATTTTGTTTTAATTAGTTCATACAATGGTATTATTAATCTCATGCAGGGTAGATAGAATTCTCAGAAGTTTTAGAAAAGGTATAAAGAGTCCTAAAAACAAAAAGAAAGAATGAAAGGAAGAAATACATACTGGCGCCCTGCTCCCTCAGTTCACAGGGTAGTTCTACCTAATACAAATTTAGTGCGGATCAAGACCGCAGGATGTCCACATCTGAACAGCAGCTTGAGTTCTGCACTCAGAGCATTCTGAATTGCAGTGCATGAATACAACTGAGAAGTCAGTGTGTGCCAAAGCAGAGGAGCCATACGAAACCTTAACAGCTGGACCAACAGAAATTCATGAATTTCAGAAAGAAGTGTAAAGTTCTGTACCTTGGGTAGAATAATTTTATTCTTCAACACAGGGTGAGAAAGGACCCAAAAGTCACAGTGGACACCAAGTTAAATATGCGTTCATTGTAAGACAAATTGCACACTGGGCTGCATTGGGAAGAGCACGGTCATCAAATTGTGGGAAATTAACTCTACACTGTGCTGTGAGGCTGCACTGCTACTGCACTTTGGGGCCTCTTAGTTCAAAAGCCATGTTGAGAAAGTGCAAACTCCAGCAAAGAAAAGATCTCCTCTCCCTCAAAAAGGAGGTTAAGAGAGAAGGACAGTGACTATATAGAAGAACAGTGGACTATCTGCAGGGGAGTTACAAAGATGATGAAATCAAATGCTACGTAACAGCAGACAGTAAAATAAGGGGAAACAGCCACAAGCTCCATGGAGTTAAGAAAAACTTCTTTGCCAATAGGGCAATGTGTCACTGGAACAGGTGGCCTCAAAGCAGTTGAGATTTTGAAGATGCAGCTAGACAAAGGCACAGATGATCTGATCTAGTGCTGGCAACAGTTCTGCTATGAGATGAAGGTCTAGATAACCTCCAGAGGTTTCTTCCAGTTAATATTCCCGTTATTTTGATACATTTCAAATAATTCTCACGTGAGCACAGGGAAAAGTACAGACAGAATCAGGACAAGCACAACTACCTACATCCACTACACATTCAATATACGCCCCTGCAGTCTACACAGTGTTGAGCATTGTACAACAGTTTTCCTTCTTTTCTGTGGAAAAATGGAAATGTGCATCCTGGTTCCAGAGTTTGCCCTGAGATATGTGTATTCATAATGGATACAAGATAGAATTGGGGATGATGCTATTAACTGAGCCAATGGCACAAAGGAAGGATGCTTTTTTAACAGAATAGCCATTGGGCATTCTAAGACCCGATTTCTTGAAAACCCTGTTAAAAAGGAAAACATTTGTATACATTGACAACTAAAGAGGTAAATTATTCTCAATGCTGTTTCTTTGTTTCCTCCTTCTTCCTTACTCTCTTATTTTTTTCTTTCTTCCTTTTGTCTTTTCATTTTCCTCCCTGCCTTCATGCTCTCACACTTTTTTTTAAATTCACATTGTGTCTTTCAAGGGGTCCAGAGGAGTGATTTGTCCCACAAGTTAACACCAGTATCCAAAGTATACAAGCTCTGCTTTCTTTACAGACTGTTTTTCAGTAAGTGGGCAGCCAACAGATGTTCTTACACAAACTGCAAAGCTGAC